AAAAATTGCAGAGGGGAGGGGTGGATGCCTAACCACTTAATGCAGCGATTCAGAGAGCAAAGCAAATGCCCCAGTAACAAATAATAATTGACGAGCCGGGGGTGGGATACGTCCATGGATAGGAGTTCGTTTCACAATTCAGGTGCAAGATAATTTATTTTTACACTAACATTCATCAATAATTACTTTTTTTATAAGAAGTAATGGCATACTTGGGAGTCTAGAGGTGGCAATGTGGTAGAGGCGCTTTTCTGAGACAGAAGTCCGTTTACCTTCCCGTTGCCCCTGTGGTGTTTTCTAGATCAAGGCGATTGCGAGAATGATAAATTCAATTATAGGACAATTTTGAAAATACACAACTAAGAACAAATAAAAAAGCTGATTAGAATTCAGCCTAAATGATAGTTATAGATAGAGAAATAATCCAGCTAAGGGTACGGCCATGAACAATTTATGTATAAATATGAGATATTGTGTAGGTATATCGTGGACTCTGGTGTTTGTCATAAGATAATAAAGACAGACTTATCTTCATGGAAACGTGTAGAGGATGGATGGATGGATGAGTAACCACTTAATGCAGCGATTCTGAGAGTAAAGCAAATGCCCCTGTCACAAGTAACAATTGACGAGACGGGGGTGGGATACGTCTATGGACGGGAGTACGTTTCACAATTCAGGTGCAAGATAATTTATTTTTACACTAACATACATCAATAATTACTTTTTTATAAGAAGAAATGGCATACTTGGGAGCCTAGAGGTGGCAATGTGGTAGAGGCGCTTTTCTGAGACAGAAGTCCGTTTACGTTCCCGTTGCCCCTGTGGTGTTTTCTAGATCAAGGCGATTGCGAGGAAGAAAAATTCAATTATAGGATAATTTTGAAAATACACAACAAAGAACAAACAAAAAAGCGGATTAGAATTCAGCCTAAATGATAGTTATAGATAGAGAAATAATCTAGCTAAGGGTACAGCCATGAACAATTTATGTATACATCATGAGATATTGTGTAGGTATAGTATATCGTGGACTCTGGTGTTTGTCATAAGATAATAAAGACAGACTTATCTTCATGGAAACGTGTAGAGGATGGATGGATGGATGAGTAACCACTTAATGCAGCGATTCTGAGAGTAAAGCAAATGCCCCTGTCACAAGTAACAATTGACGAGACGGGGGTGGGATACGTCTATGGACGGGAGTACGTTTCACAATTCAGGTGCAAGATAATTTATTTTTACACTAACATACATGAATAATTACTTTTTTTTATAAGAAAAAATGGCATACTTGGGAGTCTAGAGGTGGCAATGTGGTAGAGGCGCTTGTCTGAGACAGAAGTCCGTTTACCTTCCCGTTGCCCCTCTGGTGTTTTCTAGATCAAGGCCATTGCGAGGGAGAAAAATTCAATTATAGGACAATTTTGAAAATACACAACAAAGAACAAACAAAAAAGCGGATTAGAATCCAGCCTAAATGATAGTTATAGATAGAGAAATAATCTAGCTAAGGGTACAGCCATGAACAATTTATGTATATATACATCATGAGATATTGTGTAGGTATATCGTGGACTCTGGTGTGTGTCATAAGATAATAAAATCAGACTGATCTTCATGGAAACGTGTAGAACCTAAAAATTAATTTTTGCTAGCAAATCGGGTGAGTCAATTTTGTTATATAGTAAATCCTCCTACGTTTTAATGGCCGAAGATCGACGAACTAAGATCATAACCTATGACTTACCTACTTTGAATGAAATTTATTTAAAACATCGTCGTTGTATGGAGTCCAATACTTGTATGCGATTTTGGTAACACGGAACCCAAATGACTAAAGTATACTCCAATTTGAGTCGAACAAAACATATAAGCAGAATGTTCAGTGCATTTACATCTGAAAGCCCTTTATTATTTATTCCTTATGAAAAATCTTAAGCGAATAATAATATAATATAGTCCATCACTTCACAGCACCTGGACATATTGTCACTTTGTCACTACAAATTATGTAAAGAAATTCGATGCTAGATTTCTTACGTGTGGGGAAGCACACACTACATTTTTGAAAAAAAAAAAAATCAAGGCCAGTTTATTGTAACCTCATGAGTTGCTCAGTACGGGAAGGCCATCCTGTAAGACTTTGGAGTTTTTAATATTTGTCATCCTACAGAACGTTTTGAGGTTATATATTTGCAAAAAATAAGTGAGGACAGCAGATGATCTGAAGAAGGTTTCACACAATACAAAGTAATTTTACTATCCAAGGTAATTTCAGGTGTGGCATGACAATCCGTGCTTCTACTCATGGAAAAACAAAGCTTTTGCCATATAGGGTGCTAAAGCTCATGATTGCTAATTCCACAGTCTTTTCAGTGAATCGCGCGATTTTATCGGTGGAGACACGAATAGACCAATTTGGGAAGGTGCAACGTTTTTTAAGGACAAATTCAAGACCTTTCTAGGTAATTAAAAAGCGAAAAAGTGTTGCTTCAAGCAGCTAGCTCCTAGAACAGAAGCGTGGGTCGATATTTCTGAAGGCATTTTTCTTCTGTCGACTAGTCCATGGTGTTCGAGCATGTCGCCCATATGAGGTCAACCGTGCATTTTGTAAATAATGTGCATAATAATTAGCGAAATGCAAGTTCAGGACGCGCATAATGACCGGTGGTTTGTTTAAATAAATGCCTTTAATCGTTGTTATTAACGATGGCTTTGACTCGCAATTTATCGACTGCAAAAAAATTGATAACCGTGATTTCTGGAAGCGTCAATCACGCTTCGGAAGGTTTGTGACAGAAATTATACATCGATGTTGTGGTATCTGCAACGGTAGGTGAACTGGACGAATAAGGACTATGCGTGCAGCTGTATCGAGTGTCCTAGAATGAAATGGCAATCTTTTGGATTCAGATATGAAATATCACAAGTTTTCTTAAAAAAATGTCCTAGGTACGGGGCTCCGCTACGGAACTACAGATAGGATGCTATTGCAAAACAGCGAAATTTTGACAACATAGTAAATAATTGGGGCTTCACATGATAGTATCCATAGAAAATAATTAACTAATTTATATCGCCCAGGACAAACTATCTTCGACGCAATATTGCTATTTTTTGAACTCTATACGATGGCTCATCGACGACATTTTTGAAAAGATTGACATTTCAGCTGAATAACTGTTCATTGACTGAAATCGGCAGGATTGATTTTTTTTTTGAAAAAAATACGTTTTCGAGTTCGATCAACTCTGGTATCGGATTCAGTTTACCGGTGTCGCCATTTTAATAACAGATTCGTAATCAGGGATCCCAAAAGGCCAGAATGTAAGTTTTCAGACCACTTAATCAAGTTTTAGATTTTTACCGGGCGATTCAAGAAATGACTATACAATAGCATATTAATTTTATAACATTTTCTCAGTAAAGGTCCTTGTGTAGCATTTGTTGAAAATAAACATATTTTTTGTATAATCTTATTATGTTTTTCAATTATCTTGAGACGTGTTGCGGGCAAAAATGAATCCCCGTTCGTGAAATCAGCCTTCAGCATCGGAAATATCACTTTCAGCAGATTTCAAATTGTAAACAAAGGAATATCGATAGTCCTGGCACGTTCTTCGCATTCTCAATCTTGTAATTTCTTCAATAGTTCCTTCAAACCTCCAAACATACAGGTGGCGCTACCGTCTGGCAAATGTCAACCCGTCAACAGTGTTGCCATCGTTTAACATGGAGCTTGCACTTCTTCAGTGTCATGTGTGCTGGGCCTAGCGGCCTAAATGAGTTACTTGCTTTCTATGAAGACCATCCTGTGACGATACGAGGGCCAATTGGTGCTCCCGCTGTTAAAATGTTGTTAAGTTTCGCAGTATTGTTCAAAGGGCATACAAGAAATCATGGGTACCCACAGAGGGGTTTTGAGAGGTAACTTTTTATGAAAGTGTATCGAACCCCAAACATTTTTCAAGAATGGGGGGGGGGGGGGTAGCAAGTTTTCTCAGACAGGGGGCAAATCCTAAGTATTCTCCGAATTGTACAAAAACTAAATATGCAAATTTTAAGGCCAATCGGATTCTCACCGTGCCGCCTCCCCTGGCTCCTCCCTATTGGCACCCAATATGTGCAAGCATTTATGTCCCTTAAAAAAACATTATGTGTCATCATTGATTAACGTATCGAGTCTATCCCAATCCCTCATGCCTCCTATTGCTTACATCTACTGCATCTCGAAAATAAATTTGATATAACAACTGGCCTTATACTGAATAATCCAGGGAGTATAACACCGGAGATCGAACAGGATGTCATAGGTGAGGTCGAAGCGACGTTTGCAATGAACTCTATATGTTTGTTAAAAACTGACAAGTAACCATATTGATGCCACTGGATGTACTTCTATACGAAATTTTCTTCGTCTCGAAATAGTTCGTCAGTCTCTGACGATGATATTGAAGACTTGAACTATATCTGGCTTTTGCCATTTTGGACACCGTTATAGACTGAGCTTCACATCAGTCACTGATAAAATTAAGTTCTTCTAGTGGATCATATATAGTCGAAATCACGAAAGATGACGATTACGTCATCATTTTGTTCTGTAGTAAAGACAAACGACAGCCATTTGTGAATATTTTTAAATGAAGGTTCAGATGTGTTAGACAGAGACAAACAAAATTTTATTGTCTAAACAAGTAGTATTGCTGAATTGCATGTATCCGATAAAGACAGACGATTTTTGCATGTTTCATGATCGATCACATTTGAAAGATGACAAGTGAGGTTATGTCATGTCAGCGTGTTGACAGTTCGTTGCAGGTTAGGTTGTTTTCGAACAATACTTTGGTCGTTGGTGTTCCTGTCTTGAGGTGTATTCTGTTGTGTGTATAACTGTTTTTTTCAAAACAAAAACTCCTCATAAAATTTATTATTAAGGTAGAAACTAAATAATTTCCAACATAAGAGCATCATTTAAGACTTTAATTCTATTTTTCGCTATGAAAGGCAAAACTCTTAGCTCTCAATCACAGGGCTTGGTACTATCCTTGCTGAATTATTTTCAACAAGAAAAGGGTAATGGAGGGCCTCTATTACCATTGTTAGCTGTCCAAGAGGTTTGTAATAGAAATATGGTCATATGATCGACAATTTATTCTATATTATTTTTCAGAGGGTGGCTCAGGCACTAAGTATCAGTTTGTCCACTATTACCAGAATACAGCGCCGTTTATCATCTAATGATAATGTCCTAAGATCACCTGGAAAGAAGAGACCCAGAAAAAAGTCTAAGACAACAGATTTATCTGATGCAGTCAGGCATAATATACGAGATACAGTGTATCAAATGTATAGTGAAAGTAATGATAATGAGCGTGAGATGGTACATTCCAAATTATTGATTTTTTGTTTTGTTTCAGAGAAACATGTCACAATAGCAAATTTGAATAAAACGCTTAAAGAGAAAGAGCTTGCTTCTATCAGCAATAGGTCTTTACAAAGAGTGCTGCCCACCATAGGCTTTAAATATAAAAAAGATGGTAATAGAAGATTTCTAGTTGAGCAATCCAGTATTGCTTTACTTCGCACCAAATTTTGAGATGTTATAATGACTATGTGAACACTTCCTCGCATCAAATTGTTTTCATGGATGAAACATGGATATTTTCAAAAGGCAGTCCAAAAAAGTCTTGGCAAGATGAGTCAATAAAAAGTGTAAGGAGACCATTGGGCTTTCAAGGAAAGCGATTTATTGTTGTCCATGCAGGGAGCGAAAAAGGATTTGTTGATGGAGCAAGTCTGTTATTTTCCTCACAGTCTAAATCTGCGAGACATTCATTAAGTGGTTAAAAGAAAAACTCCTCTGCAACTTGGAAGAGCCATCAGTGATAATTATGGATAATGCATCCTATCATAGCATTTTATTGGAAAAGACTCCAAACACAAGTTCTCCAAAAAAAGAGATTATTGACTGGCTGGTTAAAAATGAAATTGTGTTCCAACCAACATTAACTAAAGTGGAGTTATTGAATATAGTGAAAAGAAATCGTAAGGAAAAGAAGATGAAATCATAAGAAGTTATGGACATGAAGTTCTTCGTACCCCCCCATACCAGTGTGAATTTAATGCCATCGAGTTAATATGGGCCAATGCTAAGCAGTATTATGATAGACATATTGGAAGATGTGGTCATGTCATAGTGATGAAAATGTTTTAGCTATGTGGAATGAAGCTCTGTCACAAATTACATCAGAGGTTTGGAAAAATGTGTGAAGCATACCCATGATGTAATTTTAGAGTGGTACAACAAAACTATTACTCGTGAAATAGAACCACTGATAATATCATTTGATTCAGATAGCGATACTGAATCTGACAGTAGCGATTAATTTTTAATCTGAATTTGACCATAAGTAATGGAATAACATATTGAAATGTACAGTTTATTTTATTTGATATATGTTTTATATAATTTTGTAGCTTATGCTAAAATGAATAGTGGATGGCATGACATGAAATAGTACAAAAATATTTTCACTTTGGTATGCTTATTTGTGTTTGTATTTTTTTTTATAAAATAAAACCATGTTCTCAGAATCAATTGGTCGTTTTAATGGAGCTGATACCAATGTATTATTATGATTTTGGTAAGAATTCTAGGGACTCGACAATATTAGATGAAAAATAGGTTCAAAATACGTACTATTATTGTGAACAGAGGAAATGCTGTTTTTTTTTTTAATAAATATGTAATTTTATTGCAAATAGAAGTCTTAAAATGTAAATTTGTGCACGGATAATGATAATTTAAAATCATGAAATAGAATAAATAAAAATAATCACTGAAATCAGCTAACTTCGATCACATGTTCCTGACATCGTAACCTTATCATCGACGTACAATTTATGGTATGACGTAATCGTCATCTTTCGTGATTTCGACTATAGCCACCTTTACTTTTACTACTATTTTCTAATATACCCTGTATATTATTCGACTAACTGAGAAAGAGATAGAAATAGTAAGGCGCGAATGAGACATCGAATAGTGCTGGCAAGCCGCTGCTGGCTGCTGCCATCCGGCTACCACTCTCTAAATAGATCACTGATAATGGCCAACTTGGATTTATCGACGTATATTAGCACCGCACCAGATACGGAGGTGTTACATCTAGTGGGCTGAGGCTGCGCCTCTAGCGCTCAGGTAATGGACTTGTCCGAAGTCAGTGAAGAAAAATTGCTTGGTTAAACCTGGTGTTTGCTGCCGTGCTGAGTCTATTCTCTATTCCCGTTAAAAAATCTTGAAATGGCCTTATGAGGTATTCGAATAATAATTTGTGTCAAGCTATCCAGTTCCATCCGCAGAACAGTATACTATTTTGAATATCAGTCTGAATTCTGCTCCTACTACTTGAAGCTTGTCCAGGCGATGTCAAGTCACTACCCAACCAGTATATGGATTTGAGGGATTTTGACTTTGACTGGTTTGGGGGAGAAAGAAAATATCTTGAACAGTACCAGCTCTTTTATTTATTTTCTATAAGACCCAGTCATAAAAAAACCCTAAACCACGACACCAAAGAAAACATTTACATTTTCCATGATTGACTCACTATTGTATCAATCATGCATAAATAAAATAGAGGTAGCCCCAAAAATGGTACCTTGGGGAGCTCCACATCTTAGGGGCAATTTGGAGAGGCTCTCCTGATTTGTTTGCTTGTGATTTCTTTCTATGAGGTTTTTTGAAATCCCGTTTATGTGAATCGTCAAAGGACCATACGAGATTTGAAGACCAACATCCAGGAAGAAATTGCCGTCATGTTGGCAAGAAAACTTTAGGCAACAAATAAAATAGTCTGATCCATAAAATGGGTTTTATTAAGCATGTTATGCTGCCGCACCCTGTATATCGTGGTTTATTGTTGCATACAGTATGGTACAGCAGCTTGTATTTCGTTATTTAGTTCATTGTGTATATTCGTGAAAGCCAATTTTAGAGTCAAAAGAACATCTTGTGTAAACATTTTAAGCATGGGGATTGCAAATCTCAAGCATTTAAATAGGAGGTAGGGCTTGTGATACATAGACATAGATTTACATTTGTCGTTATACATTCGGTCCATATCCAATAGTATGTAGTACATAATTTCTACTGTCTATTGTTTTGCAGATCAACTGGGATCAAGTGTGCTTATTAAGCCCGAAAGGGCTGCAGAGCCTACTAGATGATGTACTCGTATCACAAATCCGTATTGTTATATTTAGAGATATGATTTTCAAGAGAGATGCATTTTTTATATTCAAAATCGAACTGTTTTATGATTTATATAATGATTGGGATCAATGAACTGTTACACACTCAAAGTTAATGACATTAGTGACAACGCTAACACTGCCGATGGATCCCACCTAGGTAGACGATTGTTCAGAAGACTGTTTGTCACAGGTGATGCTTCCAGGTGATATCAATCCAACTTAATGCGCCTAAACTGCTTTTACCGAAAAACCTAATCAATATGGCATCGAAAATCACCGAGGCTGCAATGATTCTAAAAAAGGTGGCGATTTAGATGTTTCCTCAGCCTTACTGCTTGACGAGTTCACTGATCCCCGATGTGCAATTTTGCATCTTTCAACACAGATCCACAAAATAAAAAAGTAGCGTGTGCTAGTGGTCCGATGAAGTCAAAATTGGGAAAAGTGGACAAATATGAAAAAACTTCAGAATTAAAATTTTTTGGTATCTTTGGCAGACTTGTAACTTTTAGAGACCCCCGAAGGAATGCCAAAATGTGACTTTTAATACCTGAATTACTTTCTTATTCATTCAGCGACCCCAGTTTTAGGATCTCAAGCACACACCGCTTTTTTATTTTGTGGGTCTGTGTAATCAAGCACTATATCCTTGATATAAGAACTTGACTTGATTTTTTGAAGCTGTTTGTTAAGCTGTGATACACCCTCCTTTACGAACTAATCTAGAAACAGGAGATGCGTTTTCGTGTGATATGCAGGGTTATGGCAACCACCTATTTTAAAAAAAAGCTCAATGAAATTCGATACGGAATATATAAAACCCGTGCCAAAATGGATTAGTCGATGGTACAAGCTGAACGAACTAATAAGGTGTCGAAACCCAAATTGGGTCAAGAATCCTTGGCAACAAACATGCAAGAAGCAAGATGCTGCTGAAAAATAAGAAGACGCTGGCAGGATAACAAAGAAAATAAAGATGCTGACATAACGTACCATTCTAATAAAGAAGTCTCAGTTTTCGTGCCTCGAGCAAATCCACTGTCGTATTCTCTCCTCCATTCCACCTATCTTTATCCTTTTCTCTTACGTCGTTCTCTGCAAAGGCACAGGTGACCACAAAATGCGCCAATCAAAGAAATAATGCATGAAAACTTAAGATGTAGAAAGCGAACTTAGGTCACGAATCATATCATAACATGCAAGTCGCTATTAAAAAGAGCATAATAATGGCAAGGAAACGAAGGGAAACAAACTGAAAAGTTCAGTTATCCTTCTCCTAATGAACCGGTCGAAATAGTCTTTGATTAAACTTTGCTCCACATTTTATCTTTCCGTTCTTTATTCCTTTATTAATACACATGTAATTTTGTGTAATCCGTTTATAACTTTTATTTGAAATTAAATGAAAATCGATTCAAAACTGTCATTCTTTAACAAGGTATTTTACCCGGGCATATTGAAGCAAATCTGCACAGCTACTTTCTTAGTGGTGTCATTTAATCTGGCATTCTTTTACCACAATCAAGGAAGTGATTCGTGAGTTCAATGTCAGATACAGATTGTTTATAATTAATACAACCAGGTAGGTTCAAATGCCACTTAAGAGACAAAATAAGCGTATTCTAGCAGAAAACAGTAATATAAAATGAAAATCGCTAGATTTATCGGTTGAATCCCTGATGTACCCGAGCTTGAAAAATTTCGAATTCAAGAAAATAAGCTGTGCCTAGAAAATTTGAAGGAAGCGTTTTGATAACTTTTTGCATAGAGAACAGAATGAGAGAGTATTTCAACAAAATTTACAATTTTTATAAAGATATTTTTTATAAAGTGTGTAGTAAAGCACCTAGCTAAGTTAGGAGCTTACTTACGATATTTACAAGCAATTTTATTCTAAGATAAATTCATAAGCTGTGTATATTTCTCATAAATGTACAATTTTCGAAAAGATGTCCCCATACTTCTAATGTTTGAGTGTAGAATCTTCATACATTTTAAGGCCAAGATATGTCAAATAACGTTAATATTTCCGTGGTTCATTCCATTTTCAATTTTATGAACATGTATATACACAGCAAGTATGTATAAGGATAACCTTCGACATTTCTTAAATGAAGGACGTCTTATTTCTTTTTAATAAATTATTTTCAAGATACTTTTTTGAGTTGTTTTCAATTGTTTTACAAATATTTCTGTACATACCACCCCACACTGGAATTCCAAATCGCGATCATGATTCCAGCAAAAGGAAAAACCATTCTTCTATTCCTAATAAAGTTAAGCATGGTGACAATGTGGCTATGGACGATCCCGGAATAAGTAATGCCTTTGCTAGTTACTTTGCTAGTGTACATTAAGTCAAATGATACGCCCATTTTAGATAATACCTATTACCCAAAACAATACACCTATATTTCAAGTATCAATTGAAAAAACCACTGATTTAATAAATTCTCTAGAC